ATGGAGAACCGCACTTTCCCCGGCGGCATGCGCTGTCCTGCGCGGGCCGTTGGTCTCAATCCTGGCCTTGCTAGGGCTGGGTCGGCGGCGCGGGCGGCCTTCTCCGCGTTCGTGGAGGAGCGGCCGGACGCGCTGGGCGTCGTCGACATGCTGGGCAACCCCAAGTACGCGGGCCCTCCGGAGGAGAGCGTCGCAGACCTGCGCCGTCGATTCCGGTCTGTTTTCGGCGCCCCGGAAGAGCGGCAGTTGTCTTACGAGCTCGGCCGGCGCTCCCCCCTGCAGGGCGCCCTCATTCAGACGTGGCTCGAGGCCGCGGGCGACGCGGAGAGCCAGCTCCAGGACTGGATAGAGCAAGGCGTCCCGCTCGGCATTGAGAAGCCGATTGTTCCATGCGGGATTTTCCCTCCCGTGGAGCCGACCGCGTCGGACAGGCACCTGCTGACGCTGGAGGAGGCCTTGTCGTCTGGAGTCGGCAATTACTCGAGCCTCGACGACAGCCCGGCGGATGCCGAGGCGGAGCTCGACAGGCTAGAGGGGAACGGCTTCTTCTTCATTTTCGAGGAGGCGGAGGCCTTGAAACGCTTTCCGGATGGCTCCGTTGCCAGGCTCGCATTGATCCTGAAGCAGAAGGGCGACGGGAGCGTGAAACGCCGCATCATAATCGATATGTTGCGGGGCGGGCAGAACGCCAGAGCGACAGTCCCAGAGAGGCCGGTGCTTCCGCGCGTCGCGGATGTCATCGACGACCTTCGGGCGATGGTCCCGGCAGCACCGGCGATGGAAAACAGCGTGTTGCTGGCATCTGCTGACATGCGGGACGCCTATCAGCACTTCCGTGTCCATCCCGCCGAGTTACGACATTGTCTGACACGGGATTGGCGCTCAGCAGTTGTCATGGTGTGGGTGATGATGTCGTTCGGGCTAAAATCCGCGCCGCTGCTGTGGGGGCGGCTGGCTGCGGCGATGGCCCGGCTGATCCAAGGCATGTATATCCCCGGCGAGGCCCGCCTGCAGCTGTACATGGACGACCCGTTGTGGGCCCTGACAGGGTCGCCATACACGCAAAGATTTTGTCTTGCTATGGGAATCTGGACATTTATTGCTTTCGGAGTGTCGCTCTCGTGGGGCAAAGGCCAGATGGGGGCCCTCGTAGAGTGGATCGGCGTGTCCATCGATGCTTCGACGGCCATGATTGATCAGACTGTGCGGCTCACGGTATTGGACAAATTTCTTGCCGAGCTGACCGCCGAAATTTCTCATTGCAACGGGGCAAGTATGATCGGCCTCCGAAGGCTACGTCAGCTGGTCGGCAAGCTGTCCTGGGCAGCCGGGGTCCTCCCTAGGACCAGGTGGGCTGTCAATATTCTGTGGGCTGTCGTTTCCTCTGCTGCCCGTGACGCCGCGTCCGGCGCAGAGGAGAGGCGACGAACTCAGCGCCGGGACCGGCGGCCGAAGGGCCATCTTGTGGACGCCCGAAGAGGCCGCTTGGCATTTACCTGGCTGCTCACTGTCTGGCAGGGCTGCCGCACCGCCAGGGTGCGCGAGGTCTGCTTGCACCCGGGGCCGCCCAGGTTCTCGATTACCACGGATGCTTCTCCTTGGGGCATCGGGGCTACGCTGTTCGACAACAGCGCCGGCATCATTATCGAGTACATTGCCTCCGATTTAAGCGCCGCTGATGTGACGCAACTGGGAATCGCCATCGGCTCGTCCACTGCGCAGGCAGTTGCTGAATTTTTGGCGATACTTGTCTCTACCAGAGCATGGGCACATTTCTTGAAAGGTGCGGCAGCTACCCTCGACCTCCGTGTCGATTCCATGGCTGCACAGGGTGTGGCGCAGAAGCTTTCGTCCCCGAACAAGGTCTTGAATTTCATGGCGGCCGAGCTCGCGGCCACGCTCGAGCTCGCCAGAATATCGAACCTGACCGTCGTTCACATTTCAGGCGCTGCCAACACAGTGGCTGACTGGCTAAGCCGTTTAACGGCCCCCGCGGACCAGCGAGGGCAGGACTGCAGCGGCCACGTCTGCAAGGCGAAGAACAGGAAGGTCAAGAACAGGGACGCCGACTTCTACAACCTCCCGTCCCCCGTCCTCCACCCGGACATGTGGGGCTACGCGGAAAACTCCCAGGTGGGCTCAACGGCGTGGTCTTCATTGCACCTCCGGGGCGGCACCGGCCAAGAGTTCCAGTAGGGACGGCCTGGGGTGCCCGTGTCCAGAGTGGAGGTCCACGCGTAATGCGCCTGGTACCGGCCGACGGCCAGTGGTATTAGCGGCGCGCCTCCGGTGCGGTGCCGGCCGGCAGCCATGGGCACCTGTGCACTTGAGGAGACACACGCATACGCTTGTATATAATTTTATATTTTCTCGTCGCCTGAGCCCGGGGCCATTGTCGTTTTTTTTTCCTTCTTGCAGAGTCGTTGGGGTTGCGATGCGCGACACGGCGCCCAAAGAGAGGCGGCGCTGGCGCTTGGCCCGCAGATTTTTTGAAAACCGCACCGACCTCGGGACTTCTCCCCCCTGACCCTCCTTGCAGTTACTTCCTCCTCGCCCTCCCCCTCCCCCCTCGAGTGGCCAGAATCGGCCGCGCGGCCGGAACGAGCTACAGTTCGGCCAGGCGGCGGGTGCGCAGAGGAGGGCCACTGGCACATCTGGCAGCAGCGTGAATGTCACAGAGTCGGTGCGGGCCCCGCCCTCCCTCTTCGTCATCATCACCTCCTCCCTTTTTTTTTTTCTTCCTCTTTGCACCGCCACTCGCAACCGTTTAGGTGCCACGGAGCCTCTGATGCGTTGCCGGCCTCATGCAATTGCCGCTTGCGTGTTCTGGGCGCCGCGCAGGGCGGAGGCCGGAGGCCGTCCGTGCAGCGCCGTGAAGGCCGTGCTGGGCGTCACGCCGTCTCCGCTGCGATGCCGGCTTAGAGCCAGAGGTGTCCTGTGCACGCTGTGGAGGCCATGCCTGCAATCTGCCCTGCTAGGCCGAACTCCGCGGCTGCGACCGTGCTTAGGTGCACGCGGTGTCGCTTCCCCGGCAGCGCGCGGCTCAGTTGGCTCTCGTTGCTTCTGGTGCGGTGCCGGCCAGGAGCCAGTGGAACTTGTGCACCTGTGGAGGAACGCCGGCCTACATTTCTCCCTCTGGTGCGGTGCCGGCTTCGAGCCAGAGGCATTTGTGCACTCGTGGAGGGGCGTGCTTACCTCTCGTGCGGTGCCGGCTTGATGCCAGAGGCGCCTGTGCACGTATGGAGGTGTGCCAGCTGGCGTCTTTACCTCTGGTGCGGTGCCGGCTCTATTTGTGCACCGATAGTGCGCCTGCTTGATGTTTACCTCCGGTGCGGTGCCGGCTGTGAGCCAGGGGCACTTGTGCACCTGTGGAGGTGCACTGGTCTGTGAGTTTACCTCTGGTGCGGTGCCGGCTCTCAGCCAGGGGTACTTGTGCACCTGTGGAGGTGCACGTGTCTGCGAGTTTACCCCTTGTGCGGTGCCGGCCTGGAGCCAGGGGCACTTATGCACCTGCGGGGGTGCGATTGTCCCAGCTGTGTGGATTTGATGCCGTTCATGGTCATGGAGGGAAAAAGAGTACTGCGGAGCGTGGTGGATAAAAACATCCATCATCTTTCACCCGCCCTTTCCTCCCTTCCGCCCCCACCTATCCGTTCCCATTGGCCCAAGCATCGCCGTCCCATGTCTTCCAGCACCGCGCGATCCTCGCAGGGGGGGTCGAGCGTGCGGCGCGGGGGGCGTCCATCTCGCGCTTTGGGCGCCGCTCCGGTACCGCTGCGGCTACCTGTCCTGCCAGCGCGCCCTGGGCGGCCAATCGAGGAGGCGGTCGACGCCGGCGCGCCGCCTCCAGCACCGTTTTCTTGGAACACCTTTGTGGCGAATCGCTGTCAGGCTCTCCAGCGCAGGGCGTGCGAGGACACGCCAGTGACCACTGCAGTACCTGCAGGGCCTCTGTTATCATCTCCATCGGGGTTCAATCCAGGTTCACGGGTGTCCAGAGGGCGATCGCGGTCGCCGGCCCCACTGCGGGCAGACCATCCTAAGGCTCCCGGTCTTGAGAGGGCGAGGGGCGACATCAGAGAAGCCAGGGAGATCCTCCTCGACTCTGGGCGGACTGCCGAGGCTCTCGCAAGGTTGAGACAGGACTTTTTCGCGGCCTCTTCCCGGGATACCAAATCCCGCAAACGTGCGGCAGTCGAGGAACTCGCTGCCCTTGCTGAGCCAGGAACCCCGCTGTACCCGCTCACGGGCAAGAGGATCGAGCTCGTCGCGGCGGCTCTCAAGGAGGCGAGGTTCCGTTCTGGGTATGGGTACCTGTGCGAGCTCCGGCAGGGGCACATCGAATCGGGTGCGGCTATACCAGCATGGTTAGCTCTGGTATTCAAGCGCTGCAGAGACTCGCTCAACAGAGGGTTGGGCCCCCCGTCGAAAGCGGCCGAGCTACGCTGGGACAGCATCCTGGCCGATCGCCGTTCCGACGCTTCTGCCAGATTACTGGGGGGCGCTGATCTTCTTCATCCGTTGTCTGCTTACATCGTGGCGTGCTCTTGGATGTTGCGCGAGGTCGAGCTGTCCGCTATGACGATAGCCCATTTCACTTGGGATGAAGGGCGGCGCATCGCTTCCTTATTCCTCCCGGTTAGCAAAGTGGATAAGGGTGGCTGTGGGGCAACACGCAGCTTGAAGTGCTGCTGCGCGGGCGGCGACCCGTGGTGCGGCCCTTGCGCGCTTCGCTCTGTAGTCGAAGAGAGGCGGAATCTGGCGGGCCTCGCAGGTGATGACCTTGCTGCATGGGACACCCCTGTTTTCGTATCGACGTGCGGCGCCGTGCCTTCGAAGGCGGATGTTGTGGCGGCATGGCAATCCTTGGCGCCCACAGATCACGCCCGTCTGGGGGGGCACACTGCCAGGAGGTCCGGCGCGAAACGGTACGCCAGGGCCGGAGTGCCGCTGCTGGCTATCATGCACCTCGGCAGGTGGTCTTCCGCCGCCGTTCTCGGCTACGTCGAGGAGGCGCTCTCCGAAAAGGCTTTGGGGGAGGACGCCGCCGATCGCCTGTCGGCGCCAGAAGATCGCCTGGACGCAGTCGTGGCGAACCTCCAGACCAGGATCGACCAGGTCAACGAGAAATTGCTGACGTGGTCGCCGCCTTCTGAGCTGCGGGCGGTCGCCGATTCAGTGGCTCCTGCGGCGCCGTCTACGCCTGCCCCGGCCGCCGCGCCGCGCTGGGTGCAGATCAGCGGCGGCCGGTGCCACATGCTCGCTTCTGCGGCGCTGGATATGCCGTCGGTTTTCTGGAAGACCCGGTGCGGCATTCGCTATGCTGCTCCCGGGCGCTCCAGCTTCGTTCTGCACGAGGAGGCGGCGGTGCGCCGCATGGCTCCAGACAGCCTGTGCGGGCGGTGCCCTCAGCCACCGTGGTGCAGCAGGGCGGACGCGGCTGTGCCAGTGGGGGAGGCGTGGCGCCCGCCCAGTGGTGGACCTTAGTGGCCGCCGGGCAGTGGGCGCTCCTCCCGGCGCGCGGAGCCAGACGTCCGCGCGTGGCTCGCCCATCATGGAGAAAAAGAAGGGATGGGCGGGCGGGTCTTGTCTGCGCTGGGAATGGGAAGGTTATGAAAATTACGGAGTAATTGAAGAACCTGGCATTCCCCTAGCGCCCCAACCATGGAGGGTAGGGGGGGCTTCGCGTGTCATGCCGAGGGCGCCGTGGCCATTGTGGCCCGAGCTGCGCCCGGACACAGCCCTCCTGCTCTTCCTCTCCCACCCTGCCCTCCCTGGGCAGAGCGGTGGGCTTTGTTGCGGAGTCGCGCAGGCGGCCCTCGGTCCGGGGGTGCCGTTGTGGTGGCCCGCGAGGGTCGCTCGAGTGCGCTGTGTCCCCAGGGGGGAGGCGTGGCGCCCGCCCAGTGGTGGACCTTAGTGGTGGACCTTAGTGGCCGCCGGGCAGTGGGCGCTCCTCCCGGCGCGCGGAGCCAGACGTCCGCGCGTGGCGCCCGCCCAGTGGTGGACCTTAGTGGCCGCCGGGCAGTGGGCGCTCCTCCCGGCGCGCGGAGCCAGACGTCCGCGCGTGGCTCGCCCATCATGGAGAAAAAGAAGGGATGGGCGGGCGGGTCTTGTCTGCGCTGGGAATGGGAAGGTTCAGATGGACAGCCTGCGGCGGCCTCGGGAGGCACAGCGGGGACGCCTGCCCGCGGCTGACCTTCTGCGCGACGGGGCGTGCGTGCGTGAGGCCACAATAGCAAGTAGATCGCCTTCAGTGTGGCCCACAGCCCTGACTCGGGGCTGCTGCCGGACCGCTGAGAGGACTTGCGGAAGGAGTTTTGAGGACATGGGGAGGACGAGGTCACGATACTATGACGATGCTGCTGATGATGCTGATGATGATGATGCTGATCATGATGATGCTGACGATGATGATGATGATGATGATGATGATGATGATGATGATGATGATGATGATGATGATGATGATGATGGTGATGGTGATGGTGATGGTGATGGTGATGCTCATGATGATGCTGCTGATGATGATGATGATGAACATTATGATGGTGATGACGCTGGTCATGCTGATGCATATTATGATGAATAGGTAACGATGGTGATGACGATTATGATGATGCTGATGCTGATGGCTATCATGATGATGATGCTGATGACGATTATGATGACGGGGGTGATGAGTATGCTGATTATGATGATGAAGATGATGACGATGATCATCACGGTGGTGATGATGATCATATTCATGATCCTGATGATGCTGATGACGGGAATGACGATGATACTTATGCTGATGCTGATGCAGTGGTGGTGATGGTGATGTGGATGATGCTGATCGTGATGATGCTACGAATGATCAGGATGATGTAATCATGATGATGATAGTCATGCTGATGGAGATGATGATGAATCTATGATGCTGATGATGATGGCTATCATGACAACGCTAATGGTGATGATGATGACGGGGATGCCGATGCTGATGATGGTGGTGATGGCGATCATGATCATGATCGTGATGATGTTGAATCATGATGATTGTGGTGATGACGGTGACGATGATGACGACGATGGTGATGCTGATGGTGACGGTGATGGTGATGATGATGATCATGATGATGATGATGATGATGATGATGATGATGATGATGATGATGATGATAATGACGCTGGTGGTGATGCTGGTGATGGTGGTGGCGGCGGGTGTGGTGATGACGGTAGTGATGCTGTTGAGGATTATGATGATGTTGATGATGATGATTATGTTGATTGTGATGATGATGATGATGATGATGATGATGATGATGATGATGACGATGATGATGATGGTGTTGATGATGTTGATGCTGATGGCGATGACGCTGAGGACAAACAGGATGCATCCGTGAGGCCCCCAAACCCTTAACTAGTTGGACCCTTAAACCCTACGGCCAGTACGACCTCACATCCTCGAGCCCTTAAACCCTTAACCCTGCTAAGGCCTCAAACCCTCAAGCAATTTAACCATTCAAACCCTGAATCCTCAAACCCTTCAGCCCGAATACCCTACAACTCTTGAGCCGTCTAAGGCCTTCAACCCTCACACACCTAAACCCGTTACACCCTTAAGCCCTTAACTTTTAAGCGATGAAGCCTTTAAGTACAGGATCCTTTCAATACGCAATTCAACCCTCAAGCCCTCAACCTTTTAATCTTTCACAACGTTCAAGCGCTACAGCCCTGAAGCCCTTACCCTTTTGAGCCATACAACCCCTGAGCCCTGAAGCCCTTAAGGCCTCACACCCTCGAACCCTCACAGTGACATCCACCGGCAAACCTTGAGCACATTCCAATTGTGGCAATCATGTTTGCTTCTGGAGGCAACGGGCAGACATACGCAGATTATCCGTAATGGCGTCGCCCCCCTGCTACGGGCCCCCTCTCTTTCAGAATGGGATACATCAGAGTCGCGTCGGTGCGCCTCGGCGCTGCCTTGGCGCATCTGGGACCCTGGGAACATCATGTGGAGGCGGATATGAATCACCAGCACATATTGAGACGCTGGCGTTATCGAAGACGTCTACGGAGAATCACCGCCGCCCACTGCCCTTTTGGAAGTGCCTGTGTGGCCCAAAGCTGTGCTATAGCTTGGCCAAGCTATCGGGCCAGTTGTTCCACGAGTCGGTTTGGAAAGCCTTCGGGGAACACTTGGGGTTAGCAAAGGGATGAGGGTCAGACGAGGGAGGAGGAGGATGATCACGACGAGGATGAGGATGAGGATGAGGATGAGGATGAGCATGAGACCGTCAACTGTTATCGCCTTGCTGGACACGCGCATGTTGCCGAACGTAGGGTGAGAGCTCGTCCAAGCTACCGGGGAAAACGCATCTGTGACGGAACGTGGTAGCTAGAGCTTGGCCTTATTGGACCACGTGCTCCCCGAGTTGGTCAGGAGGACATTTTGGGAACGCGCGTGGGAGGAGGATGAGGATAAGAATGAGGATGAGGATTATGCTGATGATGATGACGAGGAGGAGGAGGAGGAGGAGGAGGAGGAGGAGGAGATGGAGGAGCAACGGGAGGAGCAGCAGGAGGAGGAGGAGGGCTCTTGAAAGCCTCTTGGGCTTCCTGGGAGCTTCCTAGGGCCCTATTGGAGGCTTCTTGGGGGCCTCCTTGGGCCCACACTGGGGGCGTTTTGGCATTTGGGGACTTCTTGGGGGCCTCTTTGGCAGTGCGAGAGCGTTCCTGACCCGTCTGACGCCGTCGGGTCCCGTCTTGGGGGCCTCTCTGAACCGACTTGGGGCCCTCTTGGGGCGCTTCGGGTCCGTCTTGAAGACCCTCTTGGGCGTCTCGGAGGCCTCTGGGGCCGTCTTGTAGCCCTTTTGGTGCCATCTTGGGAGTCTCTGGGGCCGTCATGGGGCCATATTGGAGGCCTCTTTGGCGATCTTGGGGCGACCTTTGGGGCCTGTCGGGCCGTCTTGGGCCGTCGGAAGGCCGAAGAGGCGCAAACGAACATGTTTCAAACACTCAGGGAAAATCAGTTTTTTGTGGCCTCGTCGTGTCCTCCTAGGAACCTCTTGGGGACCTCTTGGGCTATCTTAGACGTTTCTTAGGGTTTTGTTGGGCCGTCTTGGGCCGTCTTGTAGGCTTGTTGGGCGGACTTCGAAGCATCTTTGGCCCTGTTGGGGCGTCCTGGAGGCCATCTTGGGCTCTCTTGGGCTGTCTTGGAAGGCATCTTAGGCCATCTTTGGCGAACTTGGAGGCCTCCTGGGGCCGTCTTGAAGGTTTCTTGGGCCGCCTGGAGGTCATGGGCTAGGCTACATGTTCGTCCACCCCTGTATGTTTTTTTCCAGTGGAGGTGGGGCTCGCCACCCTCAACCCCTTTTTGGTTCCTGTTTTTTGTTTTTTCTTGCGGCCTCCCCTCCAATGGAGCCCTTTCTGTTTTTCTGCTCCCCTTTTTTGGTGTCCCACCATTTTTTTTCCTGCGGGGGGGGGGGGGTCCTCCCGGCCGGTGCGGGGGGGCGACCTGGGGAGGGCCAGGGGTCTCCGCCTCGTTCTCTTTTTGTGATCCGTGTGCTCCCAATCCTCCCTTGGTTGGACTCTCGTTTTGAACAGAGCACCGTGGCCTCCATCACCCACTCACGCCCAGCGGAGGTACGTCTTACGCAGATCACCACGAAGCATCGCCGTCCCCTGGGGGGCTTCGATCTGCCAAACCGTCGCCGCTTTAGTGTGCTCCTGGGAGGGCCAGCGGAGTGACGTCTTACGCGGATCACCGCGAGACTCCGCCGTTCCCTGGATGGCTGCGATCTGCGAAGCTGTCGCCACTTTCGTGGGCTTCTGGGTGGGCCACCGGAGGTACGTCTTACGCAGATCACCACGAGACCTCGCCGTCGCCCTGGGGGGCTGCGATCTGCGAAGTTGTCGCCACTTTCGTGTGCTCCTGGGAGGGCCAGCGGAGGTACGTCTTACGCAGATCACCACGGGACCTCGCCGTCGCCCTGGGGGGCTGCGATCTGCGAAGCTGTCGCCATTTTGGCGGGCTCCTCGGAGGGCCAGCAGAGGTACACCTTACGCAGATCACTACGACACCTCGCTGTCCCCTGGGGGGGTTCGATCTGCCAAACCGTCGCCGCTTTCGCGGGCTCCCTGGAGCCCCAGCGGAGAGACGTCCTACGCAAATCACCACGAGACCTCGCCGTCCTCTGGGGCGCTGCGATCTGCGAAGCTGTCGCCACTTTTGTGGGCTCCTGTCACCGCTTGACCTCGCCGTCTCCTGGGGGGCTGCGATCTGCGAAGCTGTCGCCACTTTCGTGGGCTTCTGGGTGGGCCACCG